CCGAATATTTTATTACATAAAAGCCTATCTATGGATATAATAAGCACTCCGTATAATTTCTTGACAAAGTGCTACTATATCAAGTATGCTTTTTATAATCATTTTTATAATTCCTTAATAAAAAATGAGACATAAAAAAGAGACATGAAAAAATTAGATTTAATCATTTCAAAATTATTGGGATATGTCGAATTGATTATTGGTTAAAAGTCGGGTTCGGGTCGGGTTCGGGTTTCGGGTTGAAATGTCGGGTTCGGTTCGGGTCGGGTTTTTAGCTTAAAAGGTCGGGTTTCGGGTCGGTTTCGGGTTTCGGTTTTAAAAGTCGGGTCGGGTTCGGGTATAGTACTATCCGACCCGAACCCGACCCGTTGCCATCCCTACTATCAAATCTCATATCCGTCCGTCAAGAAGGGACTTTTGCAATCGATGGAAGGATCAAGACCGAAGACATTATTATCTTGGTTGGATAGTATTTAGTGTCTTAGAGTATGTGTCAAAGAGTATGGAATATATAGGATTCATTCCTTGATTATCATACCTTTAAAATACCTTGTAGATCAACCTTTGTGTGAAGAAGTTTCTATTCTATCCGAATAACCTTTGGTTTATTCAAATAAGTCGTGACTTTTCGAGTGACTGAAAATGGACTGTCTTATTCTAATAAATTGGTCCTTCTTCAAATAAAAAAGTATTTTTCACGCCACAAAAATTATTTAACTTATTCGAATAAGTTTAGCCTTATTCGAACAAATGCATTGTTTCAACCACCAAACGGCGAGTATTTTCCAACCTTTTGATGCATAACAGCTCCCCAACTTCTATAAAGTTCCATACTTTGTGTTTGTCTTTGCAAGAACACCAATAAAAAATTTAAGAACATATCCTTTGATTACTCGGAGGAAAAATTTATCTAAATAGTACTAAAACATAGTGACTTACCCAATGTAGTATCATATGTTTTTATTTTCTAATGTAGTACCACTGTTCAATGTCCACTGGTCATTGTTCAAGTACATGTCCAATGCCACTTGACATTGTTCAAACTAAATGTCCACCATCACTAAACATTGTTCCCACCATTAGACATTATTCAAGTACTATTTGGCGAATAAAAAGGTTTAGGTACTACATTAGGAAAAGGACATATGTTTTAGTACTATTTAGTACAAATTTCGGTATTCAAAGATATTCAACTAAATCCCCTTCTCACATCCAAGCAAGATATCATTGTTGATCATAATCCTTTCTTGCTTGATTTTGACCTCATTGCTTGACTCTTTGAGAGATTAAGCAATATTCTGTAAGAGATCATTGTATTTACAATAACCTGATCTTGTTAGAGTAAATGTAACGTTGTGGTTGTTTGGTTACTTTTCTTAAGGGATTGGTATTCTTGGTGTTGGGGTTACACGAAGTGGTAGAAATCCTAACGATTTGTGAAATCAAATTTTAGGTGGAAGAGATCCCCAGTCTTGAGAAATCAAGGCTTTGGTGGTAGGATAAGAGTCTTGAGAGATCAAGTTCTCGAGTTGTATACAGTCTCTCAAACTCTGTTAAGTTTGACGGGTTGAAATTGAAGGCTCGGACATGTTTGCTTTGAGGATTGGATATGGGCATTAAGCTGAGCCAATATCTATCACGTGTTCATTTAATTTAACCTTCACTTTCTCTATTGTGGTGTGTTGATTTGATCAAGAATGCTTCCATAAAAAATTCAACCATTTTGGGCAACACCTCTATTCACCCCCTCTAGAGGTGTGCGTGGTGTCTAACATATGAAAGGTACTGATGTTGAGGTTGTTGAGACGAATGTCAAAGAATCTAAAACTAATAGAGATTGAACTAGACTTCGCTTTTCAAATTTGAAAAGAATAAGATCCATTTAAGCAATTCGCTCAAAAGGATGCCCCACATGAAAGAAGAGATGAGCACACTAAGCATGTTCCAGCATCTTGTGATGCACCTTCAGGAAGCGAGATGCAAGCATTGAAGAATCAAGAAAAGAGAAAACCTCCCAATCATTCATCTAGAAAGAAAGGTTATTCTCACATAAACTTATATTCTAAATATAGTTGATTTTACCATAGAAAATGAGGACATACCAGATGACATTGTAAGAAGCTAAGAAATTGACGGTCAAGGAGATCGACCATATCTCACGCAACACAATAGAACATCATGAATGATGTGAGCTTTTAACCAAGGATATGTTATTTCTAACTCGTGTCTAAAAGTAACCCTTGATCACTGGGTTCTTGTACGTGGGTGTTCACATCATATGACAAGAGTGTTGGCCTTGAATATCGTATCCTATAATTTTGATGTGATAAGTAAGGCTTCCAAGGCACTAATATTTTTGTAGGAACAAC